ACATGAACTTGGGGTTGGGGGGGGACAGTTCCACTCTTCCCTGCATCACCCCCAGCCCTTCGCATCCATCCTTCCTCTCCCGCTACCATCGACCCTCATCATCCCCACCCCCCCTGTCCCCACCAGGTTGTCCTCACCCCACCACCCATCCCACTGTGGGGCTGAGCACCAGGCACGTCAGCACCCATAGGTCAGGGTGACCTGTCACCACCATGATGTCCCCCAGGGGGTTGCAGACTTGCTTTGCTTTGTCCCTTGGCCAGAGGGCTGCTGGCAGTAGCCCTCCCTGTCAAGGTGACTGTGTGACATGAGGGCAGCCTGGTCCAGCCTCATGGTGGCTGCAGCAGTATTTTGGGGTCAGTGTGTGAGCCACAGCCAGTCCAGCCTTGCCCCAGGGGCTGCCTGCCTCCCCTTCCTTGCCTTCCTGGACAGGGAAGATTGGGCACATCAGGTTGAGTTGTCCTTCTGCAGAGCCCTGAAGTTCATCCTTCTTTTCCATTTCTTCACGCTTTTTCTCCCACTCTCCTCCCACTTCTCTTTCCTCCCTCCTTCTCTCCATCCCTTTTTTCTCTTCTTTCTCCCTCCCAGGCTCCTCTGTCTGCGTGAAAGTTCATGTTCACTCTGTGCCAACACGGTTTTCTCAACCCATGCTTGTGTCCCCTCCCTGCCCAGAGTTGCCAAAAAGGTGACAAATGTATTGGTGACCTTCAGTCCCCATGCAGGCCAAGGGAACAGTGGGCTGAAGCACCCTGCCCAGCACTGCAGGCTCCTCTCCGTCAGCCCAGGGCATGGAAAAAGCTCAGATTAAGCCCTCTGAGTGTCCAGGTCTGTGACAATACATTTGTGGACAAGCTGAAAGCAACTCTGCCCCTGCCTTGCCCCTTCTGCTAAATTTGTGGCAGGTCCCAGACCTACAAGCTGGTGCTGGATCATTGGGAGGGTGGGGTGGGTGAAACCAGCCTGGCCTCCCCAGGAGGCAAAAGTCCATTCTCCCCACCTTCTCCTTTGGGAAAGCTCTCTCTCCCACTGTCTCACCTGTTCCTGGTGGTTTCTGTGCTGAAGAAACACTATAAAGGCTCTTGGGGAGGAACAGATGCCTGCCACAAATGCCTGGTGTCCCCCTCCATCACCCTCTGGCAGCAGCTGGCTGAGCCCCCCTGGGCCTGAGCCCTCAGGGGGCATCTCAGCAGCCCCTTTGCCTTTGCTGGGGCTCCTGGCACAGCATCCCCCAGCCGTGGCACCAGCCAAAGCCACCCCTGCCCGTGTTCCCCCTTGGTTGTGCCAGGGGGAGGCTGAGGAAGGAGGAGGCTTTGCAGCCCAAACAGCCCCAATGAGGGGTTAAATTCCTGCTCTGCTGCAAGGACTGTGATGGCTTCATCCCCCTCCTGGGGTGCAGAATTTGGCCTCCCAGGCCAAGCCCAGCTGAGGATGTGCTCTCCATCCTTTGGCCACCACCTCTGTCCGTGTGTCCGGGGGTTGCTCTGCTTGGAGCCCTTGCAGGGCCCCGCGCAGCCGCCGCATGGAAGGGGCGATCCAGCCTCGGCACTTGCTGGGAAAAATGGGATGTTGCTGCTGCTCCTGCAGGGGCCGTGGCAGAGGAGGTGCAGAGCGGGGGTTTTGGGGCTGCCCAGGGTCCCCTGGGGATGGCAGAGGGGCCAGAGGGAAGAACTCCAGGGATGCAGAGCTCTGCCCTATAAGGGGTTGGAGATGAGTTGCCCTGGGGTGTCCTGGGGGGCAGGGTATAGCTCAAAGGGTTGGTGTGGGGAAGGGGAGCAGGTGCCCACGGGGCTGTAACGGCTGGTTGGTTGTTTCCTGGTTGCAATGGGTGTTTTGCAAGGTTGGTTTTGTTCGTTAGACTCAGGGCAGCTTCCTTCCCAACCCCCTCTGCTCCCCCTGGCAGCAGCCACCCGCGCTCGGGACTCGGCAGCTTTGCAGATGATGACAACTTGAGGCACCATTTAATCCTGGTGGTGCTGGGTTGCAGTCACTGGGCTGGTTTGCATGCACTGAAAAAGCCCTTTTTGGCAGAGGTTTCTTGCAGGTTTGGATGTAACTGCATCCACAGGGACAACAAGAACAGGACAGACTTCTGCCTTGAGGACAGATGCTGGTTTATTGAAAGCTTTGAAAGAAAATCCCCTTGCCCAGAGATTATAAAAATAATATTACTATTCCTTCCCTAGTTTCTCTTGTGGGGAGTTTTTGGCATGATCAGACCCATGGTTTTTGCCCTCTCTGTAATGGATGAAGGGGTGGGACGTGGTTCTTCAAGTGGAGAGGTTTGCTCTTCCAGCACTATTGAGAAATCTGTGCAGATTTCAGTCTGGTAGGAAAGGTTTTTGGGAGGAGCTAAAAGGCCACGTTCCAGGGATTTTAGGGCACAAGGCTTAAATAAAACCTGCAAACTCATGTCCTGGAGTGGACCCTGCAGAGCCCTGGGCTTGGAGCATCCTCTGGCTGCAGCCACAGCCTCTGCCAGGGACAGGGTGACATTGGAAAGAGAAACTGGGGGAAGGCACCTGCCAGAAAGGTGCAGAGGTTTGGGGAGCTGCCGCATTGGAGGTGGGAGAAGGCCTGAAATCCCCTGAAGGCTTTTTTCTGGTTTCACCCCCCAGAGGATCTGAGCTGTAAGTGACCCTGCAGCAGGGCGGGCCAGCCGGCTGGGTGTTGCCATGATGCTCTCTGGGAGCAGGTCTGAACAGGGCAGGCCTGACAGGGCATGGGGGAACCATGCGGGAACCCCCTCCTGCAGCCCACAGGGAGCACAGGAAGATGGGCACAGGGACAGGGCTGTGGCTCTGGGCTGTGTCCTGCTGTCCCCAGCCCTGCTCCTCGGCGAGGGTGTACTGAGCAGAGCTGGGTCTCTGCCCCAGAGCCCTTCAGTGACTTATGCAGTATCAAGCTCCTAAGGGGATCTGGGGGGGTGTGTGTATTGGGGGGCGGGGTGTACGCGATCCTCTTGAATTCTCCATTCCCTCTGGGATCTGCAGCCTTCACGTGCCTCGCTCTCCAGCCTGAGCTCACCAGGAAAACCCGGTTGAAAAGGCAGCTGTTGCCTCCCAGAAATCAGCAGGCAGAGGGTTTCTGTTGCTCCCTCTCTAAGGAAGCCTCAGCGCTCTTCCTTGACCTTGGGGTGCCCTTGCACCTCCTTCCCCCCCTCCCCTAGCTCAGAGTTGCTCCCACCCACGGGCACGGGGCTCAACCTCCCTGATGGAAGCAGCCCCC